AGCATGATAAATGATCAAAGAGCAAAAAAGGTTGAATTAGTTTTTATCATCTTAAAACTGAAACAGATTCCTGTTTTGTTTTGTTTTTATTTTGAGAGAGAGAGAATGAGAGAGAGAGGAGAGAGAGAGAGAGAGCACAGAGGGCCAGAGAGAGAGGGAGAGAGAATCCCAAGCAAGCTCTGCATGGGGCTTGATCCCAGGAACAGTGAGATCATGACCTGAGCTGAAATCAAAAGCCAGATGGACACTTAAGCGACTGAGCCACCCAGGCACCCCCAGATTCCTAAGTTAAATGTTTCATTTAAAACTAGTCAATTAGATTTTTTATGCAATCAATTCTTTACATATTTGTGAAGGACAGTTTTTCCCAGTATTTTGCCAGATGCTAGAGTTATGAAGTTGGTTAAATAACTAGTCAATGATCAGAGGGAGTCTATAGATTAGGAGGAAGCTACCGTTTTGTAAGTAAATAATTAAAATATTATCACACACTGAAACAGAGATCTGTACTGCAGAATCCAGTGGGCTGGTTATTTAGAAATGACCAAGATGAAGACTAAATCATCAGAAGCCATTAATTACCCTACCACCCGTTGCTTCTTATTCTCCTGCCTTTGCCAGATTACTCCTCCCTCTTTCCTCCCACTCTTCTTTTGTATTTTGCTGTTATTTGTTGAAGTGAAGGTATTTAAATGTTATATAGGGATTACTGATTGTTATTTTTGAAAAAGAAAGTGATCACTCCCAAGTTACTTAAAAGAATAAAAACATTATAAAGTTAATGATTTATTTTGGAGAGGGACTGGGGGGTTGCTTAGAAAATATTTAAAATGTAAGTATGAGGGGCGCCTGGGTGGCGCAGTCGGTTAAGTGTCCGACTTCAGCCAGGTCACGATCTCGCGGTCCGTGAGTTCGAGCCCCGCGTCAGGCTCTGGGCTGATGGCTCAGAGCCTGGAGCCTGTTTCCGATTCTGTGTCTCCCTCTCTCTCTGCCCCTCCCCCGTTCATGCTCTGTCTCTCTCTGTCCCAAAAATAAATAAACGTTGGAAAAAAAAATTAAAAAAAATAAAAATTAAAAAAATAAAATGTAAGTATGATCACTACAATACTATTATTCTTCGTCTATGTCCATTAGTCAAAGACCAGTACTAAACTCAGTATAGCAGTCCATTTGCCGTTAAAGTTATGCAAAGGGACATCTGGCTGGCTCAGCTGGTAGAGCATGTAGCTCTTGATCTCAGGGTTGTGAGTTCGAGATCATTACATTGGGTGTAGAGATTGTTTAAAAAGAAAGTATGTGAAACCTACATTTCAAAACTCAATGAATTTATACTTCATATTAAAAGAAATCAGTTTAGGGGTGCCTGGGTGGCTCAGTCGGTTAAGAGTCTGACTTTGACTCAGGTTGTGATCTCGCGTTTCACTTGTTTCAACCCCGTGTCTGGCTCTGTGCTGACAACTCAGAGCCTGGAACCTGCTTCAGATTCTTTGTCTCCCTCTCTCTCTACCCCTCCCCGCCTTGTGCTCTGTCTCTCTCTCCCTCTCTCTCTCAAAAAAAGTAAACATTTAAAAAAGAAAGAAAACAATAAAAGAAGTCAGTATAAACAGAGTCCTATAGACGAAGAGTTCGATGAAGAGTTCATGATATTAAAGTAGTATTTAAACTTGTGTGTGAAAATTGATTCCTTAACAAAATATTTGCAGAATCATAATATTTTTTCAATTTTGTAAATTGGACTGTTCCATGTGTCTTATCTGATTCATGACAATTTGTTTATATAAACACATGTTTCAGGAACCTAAAAATACTAACTTACTAACTCCTCTGATGATTTTCTGCTAAAACATTCCAAGCAAATTATACTGGCACATTAATCTGGGTCTATCCTGTCTCCTTATCAATTTCAGAATTATTATAAGTTTTCATTAATTTTCCTATCATCTGATGTTTTAATTTAAGTCATCGTATTTTATTTAAAACACATAACTATAAAAATTATCAAATAAAACCTAGAGAATGATGAAATCACTTGCTATAATAAAATTTTCATTTGGGATCCATGTAGAGGAGATAGTGAGTGATACAGAGAAAATAAGACTGGCCATCACTTCACAATTGTTAAATGGGTGCTAAGAACATGGAGCTCATTATACTTTCTTCTTTAGTTTTATATATATTTGAAGTTTTTCCAAATAAAAAGTTCCTTTTGCAGATGGCAGTGATAAAATCCAGAAATATTATTTATAATAAAGATTTTATGGATTTGATGTGTTTTCAGTCTTATGCGATTTTTGGTGTGGGTTTAATGCTGTGCATTTATTGTCTCAGAGTTAACTGCTTCCTTAAAGACTTGTGGTTTTGAAAACTGAAATGCTGTACAAAAGCAGATATCAAATCCGATCACCTCTGCATATGTCCTCAATAGATTTGAGGCTGATGTCGGGTAGATGCAACTTGGCAGACTTTTTGGAAAGCATTTGGTTTTAAACTTTTAATTTCTACTAGGATGTAGTTAATATAATAGTTGTGAATCAATATAAACTGATGTAAAAGCTTGAAATCAGAGAAAGAGTAAATGGAATTAGGAGTGATAAATAATATTTTACTGCCACAGACTTGAGAATTAGCTCCATTAAAGTTATTCCTTTGTGGGTGGACATTGTCTGTAGAATGACCCCTTTAAAATAACACCTTTTATCTGTGAACAGTATCATTTTTTAATTTTTTTAAATTTTATTTTAGAAAGAGAGAGTGTGTGTGTAAGGGGTGGGAAGAAGTGGGGAGGATTTGGGGGGAATCGGACAGAATCTCAAGCAGGCACCACCTTTAGCTTGATCTCATGACCCTGGGATCATGACCTGAGCCAAAATCAAGAGTTAGATGTTCAACCTACTGAGCCACCTAAGCATCCCTGGGAACAGTATCTTTAATGCATCACTGTGCATTAGCAGATTGGTGCATTTTTAGGGAGTGGGGAAGAGGGAACAGAAAGAAGAGCCCATAGGATATGAGCCCTTAAAACATGCTCACTCAATGTGCACACAGTCAGATACCTGGTAAGGTTAGTGAAGATGTGACTCTTGAGAGTCTGTCACCTGTCAGGATACTCAAATGGAAAATGCTGAATGGTCAGGGGCATGATCTGATCCCTGCCCACTGAGGGAGAAAGCAGATGACAGAGTAAAGAATGATCAACAGGAGAAGTAATAGAACCCTAAGAAAAGTTCCCCATAATTCACAGTTGGGTGTATGGAGTATTCCAATAGATTTAGGTGTGGAGGGATCTTTTAGGAGCAGTGATCTGAGAGAACATAAAGGAAAAAGAGAAGATAGGAAAATCAGCTGTTAAAATTCTAAGGTACTATACTGACCACAATTTTTAAATCTTCTTTTTAAAAATTAGGAACTACCTTACAGTTCTCTGCTATGTTAAGATCTTTAAAGAAGGAAACACCATAGCAGGCTAGGGTACTTCTGATGATCTTTTGGACCTATTCTTTCATCCTTTCATCTATTTTTTTCATTTACCAATATTTATTAAGTAGCTACTAAAAGCTAGTCACTTAGGTTAGAGGAAGGTTAGGTAAGGTTAGAGGAATACTTAAAAATTCAATATCTGTATATAAATCTTGGCTAAGTATTGAGGTGATTTATCCTAGGTGTGACAAAAATAGCACTAGCATGAAGCTGGCATGGATTTTTCCTCAAGAAAAAAATGACAATTAATAATAATGAGATTATAGGTAAAATCAAATCAATTTAATTTGGCAAAAGATATTTTCTCAGAATGATAAATAGGGTAATAATAAAAATTATATGTGAGTCAAATAAGATTTCTTTTATAAAATGCAGAATAAAAATTGGCATTTTCATAATCCTGAAAATTATGATATAAATGAATAATTAACCCACCAACAAGAGGTGAAGCATAAGTTAGAAATTAAACCTCTTTTGTTTGCCCAGAAAAACATGGAAACTTTGATTCTTTGCAAGTTATTCTGACACAATCTTATAACTCTAACAGTGTAATATTAAATAAGCTGTAATCAACAGTTGATGATTAAATGAAAGATTGAATATATATGTATATATATGTATATATATATGTGTATATATATATATATATGTATTAGCTACCACATTTACACATTGCTTAATGTATACACATAATAGGTCCTAAATAAACAGATGATGAATGAATTAATAAAGGTCAACATCTATAACAAATGACCAAATCTTCATTCCCATATTATTAAATGATAATTTAATTATCAAAAACTTACAGAAGATAATTATGAAATCATTATTGAGTAAAATGGGAAATAAGCATTTCTATTTATAATCTTTATTTCCCCTTTACTTTTCATGCTAATTAAATAATTAAGTAGTTATCACATGTGTTTTTGTATCCTGTTTCTTTAAAGAGAAAAATCTGAAAAAATCAGAAACCTAAGACAAGAAAGAAGAAAGATTCAGAATGAAGTTTTCTTATTCCATCACAATGCATACTGTCACCCGGGACCTCATGAATAGTGGAGTCGTGGCGGGCATGCCAGCGGTACAGGGAATGGCATCTTGAGTCAGACTGGTAGTGCATATTGGGAGTTCTGTACTTTATCCACATATTAGTCACTCAGTGAGCTTCTATGAAACACTTTATGTCTACCTGTTCCGTCCATTTCAAAGCACTGATAATACAGAAATAGTTTACAAAGAATTCTGAGATTTTCAGATTCAGGTGGCAAACAAATGCAAAGTGTGCCATGGCCAGACAACAATAAGGCAGTTTTGGGAAACTTTTTTTTTTTTTTTTGGTCTCAATAAGCTTAATTCTTAATGATCCCTCTAACAATTGTATTCATTTCATAACAAAAATTCCGAGTGCCAAGGGCAATGTTTTTTATGTCTGTTTTTGATTTTCTGCTCTCCCCCTTTTGGGGGGTTAAATATCTTTCCGAAATAGATCGCCATGGTAATTTATTTATCTTTTTCTTTATAAGAGCCAGGGAAAGCTCCGGAAACCAAACAAGGGACTACAAAAGTTGCAGCACAGGGTAAGCAATAAAACACTTCAAACATTCTATTTCTTTCTTTTTAGAAAGTACATAGCACTTTGAACAAAGCAAAAGCTGTTTATTGCAGAATAGCACCATCTGCTGGGTTATTACAGAAAATATTGTTGCATTAAAATACACATTTCAAGTATTTTATTTTTAGTACTTGGAGGAACCATAAAGGACCCAAGAGTTAGTATGTTGACTCCAAGTTTCAGTCATGGAGCTTTTAGTTACGTTTCTAAAAATCAGCCATATATTGATAGATGATAGAAAGATTGGTAGAGATTTACAAATCAATATAATTATTTCAATGTTTCCTTTATGTAACTTGTGTCAAATTAGAAAACTTAGTCAGAATGTTATAAAGTTAATATTATTTCATCTATATCAAGATTGCAGAAATTGGGTTCTGGATATGACTGCAAAGTAATCTCCCTAGTTTTTAGGAGCCATGTGAGAAAATCAGTTCCATCACTTACAAATATTTTGGAGTCATCAGAAGTGGTTTCCTTTAAGAGATCTTTAAAAATATACTGATTCTTTAAAGCATCAGTTTGGGAAAGATACTTCTTTTAAACAATTTTTCTATAAAGTTATTTTTTAACCATCATCCAAAATCACATCCTTTGAGAAAGCTATTCTAAATCTTGTAACTCCAAGTCAACAGACTGGAATATGAATTATGTGACCATTATTCTTAAACCATGAGGAGTAATCTGATATAAGTATAAGGGAAGGACACAAGTATTCTGCCTTTTGTCATCTATGAAAACTTTGCAGAATTTAGGGAGGAAAAGGGGTAAAATGTTTAATAGAGAATATTTTTTTACTTTTTAAGTTTTTATTTTAATTTGTTAGTTGGCATCCAGTGTTATATTGGTTTCTGGTGTACAATACAGTGTTTCAACAGTTCCATACATCACCCAGAGCTCATCATGACAAGTGTACTCCTTAATCCCCATCACCTTGTTAACCCATCCGACCACTCCACTCCAATAGAGAAGATCTTTACTTTCTTGCCCACTACATTATACAATATCGAGCAATAAAGGATATGCATTTAGGTGGTATTACATTTGTTTCTGGGAAGAAGGCCTCTGTAGCAGACTCCTCAGCATATGACATATAACGTGGTTGCATTTAATCCTGGACCCAACTATGTGCAGAATCATCCTGGTAAATACTGGTTACATGGGTTGACTGCATTCCATTCCACTGACCCAATGATGTTATTTATAAGTAATGTATACTAAGAGGGCTGGGAGCTATAATACTAATTTTTAATTTTCATTTGATCATCATTTGATCATTTCTTTGTTTAAGAAAACAGAATCTTCTTTAGGAGAATTTTAATAGAGAGTATAACAAATATTACGGGAGGCAGAAAGGACAAATATTATCACTTTTGGTTTTTATTCATGAAAATGCAATTCGGAGTCAGGTCCTCAAGTATCATGGTTAATATATAGATGTTATCATTAAAAACAAAACAACAACAGCAACAAAACAAAACAAAACAAGAAAGCAAAACCAACCAACCAACCAAACAAACAAACAAACAAAAAAACACTTGCCCTGGGACACTTCTGCTTTGATTGAAGCTTCTGAGGACTTCGTGGTATGGAACTGCCACTTGAGGCAAGAGTTTAATGCTGCTTTAGTCTCATATTAGAGGAATTCAAGGGGAGGAAATTGCAGAGATATCTGGAAACTTGCTTCAAATTTGAGCTTCAGACCTTGGGCTCTTCATTTTTGCATTCCAACTATGCTGGACAAGGAAGCCTCAGAAATTATTCTTTTGGAATAAAAGACTTACTGTTGAGTCTTTAATACCATGGAGTTTCAAAGTCTTGTTAGAGCCGTTCTTTTAAGAAATTAGATAAGTGTGTTGATTAAACATAGTGCACAAAGCACTGTTCACTAGAATGGCAATGACACATCAAAAGAGGGACACTTCAAGCAGGAATAAATGTCACTTGTGTTGTGCACATCTTCCATAGATCTTTCTTAGGTTTTATAATACCATAGTCATATTATTAATCATGCATAGAAATAATTAATATTTGCATATACTTTATTAGAAGACAGAGCTTAAGCACAATTGGCAGTATTGCTCTAGCAGAGGCTGATATTTTTGAAGTAAACAATATCTTTTTTTTAATGTTTATTTATTTTTGAGAGACAGAGAGCAAAAACGAGAGAGTGAGTGGGGAAGGACAGAGAGAGGGGGAGATACAGAATCTGAAGCAGGCTCCAGGCTCTGAGCTGTCAGCACAGGGCCTGATGCAGGGCTCAGACCCACAAACCGTGAGATCATGACCTGAGCCGAAGTCGGGCGCTTAACTGACTGAGTCACCCAGGCACCCTGATAGTTTTGAAGTATAAAGTGACAAAATTGATAATGATGCTTATATTGTGGTAAAAGACTAGAATATATCTCTTCATTTATTTATTTTTTAAACTTTTTTAACAAAGGGAATATTTAATATCTAGTTTTATATAAGCTGTGTGTAAATATGTAAATATTTTGCTCTATTAATATTTATCACACATTTTTTGGAAGTATATTAAAAAATTTAAGAAAGTTTTGAGACACTGAGAAGAATATGAAAAAAAAATGACTCTATACTATAGATTATAAGTTGGAGATACAAGAAATTGAAATAATAACATAAATAGAATATCATGTAATGCTGAATTGACTTGTAGAGATAATAAATGTCATATTAGGGGGTGCCTGGGTGGCTCAGTCGGTTAAGCGGCCGACTTCGGCTCAGGTCACAATCTCACACTCCATGAGTTCGAGCCCCGCGTCGGGCTCTGTGCTGACAGCTCAGAGCCTGGAGCCTGTTTCAGATTCTGTGTCTCCCTCTCTCTGACCCTCCCCCATTCATGCTCTGTCTCTCTCTGTCTCAAAAATAAATAAACGTTAAAAAAAAATTTTAAATAAATGTCATATTAGTTAAGACAAAGTGATTTTTAGTGAGTTGGGTTGAGGAATTCTTAATGGATGAGGAGAGGATGACTTCATGTGGGCTTGGAGCATGACTAAAGAATAAACTGGCATCTCTCTGCCCCTCCCCGTTCATGCTCTGTCTCTCTCTGTCCCAAAAATAAATAAACGTTGAAAAAAAAAAAAAAGATAAAAGGGGCGCCTGGGTGGCGCAGTCGGTTAAGCGTCCGACTTCAGCCAGGTCACGATCTCGCGGTCCGTGAGTTCGAGCCCCGCGTCAGGCTCTGGGCTGATGGCTCAGAGCCTGGAGCCTGTTTCCGATTCTGTGTCTCCCTCTCTCTCTGCCCCTCCCCGTTCATGCTTTGTCTCTCTCTGTCCCAAAAATAAATAAACGTTGAAAAAAATTTTTTTTTAAAATAAAAAAAAAAGAATAAACTGGCAGTAAAATAGCATTGCTAGTGTAGATGGCTTTAAATAAAGAGTTAGTGATAATTGTGAAAGGTTATTGTCATTATCAAGTTATGAGACAACCTCAACTATGATGGTGTCAGTGACTTCGGAAAGCTGCAACTAAGTTGGATATTTTGAAAAAACGCTAATTGATAGAAGATACACAATGAAACAAGAGAAGCTTAAAACAGTACTGAGCTTTTAAGGCTGGGTGAATAGGATGATTTAATTGTCAAAAATAAGTCCGAGGGAGGGCACCTGGGTGGCTCAGTTGGTTAGGAGTCTGACTTCTGCTCAAGTCATGACCTCACAGTTGGTGTGTCCAAGCCCCTGGTCGGGCTCTGTGCTGACATCTTAGAGCATGGAGTCTACTTGAAATTTTGTGTCTCCCTGTCTCTGGGCCCCTCACCCACTCGTGTTCTGTCCCCCTCTCTCTCTCTCTCTCTCTCTCTCTCTCAAAAATGAATGATCATTAAAAAAAATTAAAAAAATAAATCCCAGGGAAAGGAACTAACTTAAGGGAAAAGATGAGGATTCATTTTTCGGTGGATTTATGCTGAGCAGATGGAGGGTCATCCATGCAGTGAATTTTCTGTATAGCCCGTAAGAACTAGGTGGGAGATCAATCTGATTCATAGACATTACATAATAAATTGTGTTGAAAAAATGGAATTAGACTAAAATGGAAAAGTGAGAAGAAAAATAGGAATTTTTTTTAAAATTAGGCAGATGCAATGGTTGGGCAGACACCTGCTGACAATGAAATGCTCAAGGAAAGACAGAAGTTACAACAGAAATCACCTTAAAAGATGAGTCTATATGCATCATATATTCATCTGTGTTAGCGTATTTCCAGTGCCTTTTTCCCCCTTTGGATTTCTAAAGCAAACATTAAAAGTCTTTGATATATTATAGATAGAAAATAGAAAGAGAAGAAGACAACTAAAATGTTAACCATTGCAGTCTCATTGGAATATGAAAACAAAGAGTCCAATAATGAAGAATCATGTCTACTCAGCAGATTCAGGGTCATCGAGCCACATAATCCAGTGAAATAGAATTAGGCGAGTTGAATGCGAGTCTGCAGTGGGACACATGGAACAAAAGTTAGAAAACCGTTCTGGAAGCAGCTGGATCCCGAAAGCCTGGTTTGGATTAACTTCTGGAGTGGAATCCAGCTTGACAGACCACATGGCTTTCCAGATGGCTGTGAATAAAAGCCACTCATTTTAAGGAACACAGGGCAAGAAGCAAAGCCAGTGTCAACTATGAAGGAATAGGCCAAACTTTTTCATTCAACTCTTGTTACTGTAGAGTTTAAAACCAAAACTATTGAAGAATATGAAAGTAGGAAAGAGGAACACTTATACACATACCCACATGCCTGCACTTGCATATGAATGCGTTGTTCTTCTTAGATTATTTTAGAAATTAAAAAAAAATCTGCAAAAGATTTTGCCTATTTTTGGAGGGCTTTTCTTCTCTGTAGAATTCAGAAGAGATAACGGGTTTTCAAAATGCATTCATGTTCTCAGTCCTTTTTCTGGCATTGGTTGTCCTCAACGAGTGTGTTTATTGCTAAACTGGTGAAGTTTAGGGCCACTCTCTTGCCAGGGCCTCTCCCAGGACTCTCTGGGCAGCATTTTTTTCTTTAAAGTTTATTTATTTTGAGAGAAAGAGAGAGAGTGCACTAGGGAGGGGCAGAAAGAGAGGGAGAGAGAAAATCCCAAGCTGGCTGCGTGCCATCAGCATGAAGCCTGACCTGGAGCTTGAATCCACAAACTGTGAGATCATGACCTGAGCCAAAACCAAGAGTCGGACACTTAACCAACTGAGCCACCCAGGTGCCCCTGCTTTTATGGTTTTAATTTATATTTTATTCATATATATATATATATATATAATTTTTGTTTGTTTGTTTTTTATTTTATTTTTTTTTGAGAGAGAGAGAGAGAGCATGAGCTGAGGAGGGACAGAAAGACAGAGAGAGACAGAGACTCCCAAGGAGGCTCCACCCCATCAGCATGGAGCACGATGCGGGGCTTGATTTCATGAATCACAAGATCCTAACCTGAGCTGAAATCAAGAGTTGCGCATTTAATCAACTGAGCCACCCAGTTGCCCCTGGACAGCAATTTTTAAAATGTTTTAAAAATTTTATTTATTTATTTTGAGAGAGAGAGAGAGAGAAAGTAGGGGAGGGACAGAGAGAGGGAGGAAGAGAATCTGCACTGACAGTGCAGAGCCCAATGTGGGGCCCAAACCCATGAACTGTGAGATTGTGACCTGAGCTGAAACCAAGAATCAGACACTTAACTGACTGGGCCACCCAGGCACCCCTGGACAGCAATTTTTAATTTGTGAATTTGTGTTATTTTGCTTTTGTTTAAAGAGCTCTCTACCTAAATATTTTGATCCAACTTATTAGAGACTCAAATATTGGGAAATAGTGTCAAGATAATTATATAGGAGAAAAGCAAAATATGTCTCTTGCAGTAAATTAAAGGACAAATCCATTTCACTTTTTTCTTTACTATACAAATTCCAGGCAAAATACAAAAATTAGTGAATTCCAGAATCAAAATGTTTACTTATTGGATGATTTTGAAAATTATAAACCTTCTTGGAGGAAATTCATACGTATAAAGTAAAGCACTAACAACAAATAAATCTACTGAGTCAAACCTGTAGGGTTTGCTGAAATTATGCCTCATGGCTTTGAAATCTATCAGGTGTTGCTCATATCTTCCAATTCTTTGTAGTTGTCTTCATTACTATCCTCATTATGTCATTGGAATAGACAGATGCTTTAACTTAAAAAATATTATAAATGTAGATCCTTTATACATTTTGTATCTTAAAGTTAAAATCCTATTAAAAGGAATAAATGTTACAAGGTAGAATTATTTTGGTTGTAAAATAATTTTTTACTACAAAAGTAACAACGCTTAATGACATTTAGAAAAAAGAAAACAAAATAACCTATAATAAATTAAGTTAATAAATTTAAAGATATTCCCTTTCAGTCTTTTGTTCCTGACTTTTAGACCTCTTAGTTGTTTTCTTTTTTTTTTTTAATTTTTTTAAACATTTATTCATTTTTGAAAGGCAGAGAGAGACAGGTGCGAATGGGGGAGGGGCAGAGAGAGAGAGGGAGACACAGAAACAGAAGTAGGCTCCAGGCTCCGAGCTATCAGCATAGAGCCCCTATCAGCATAGAGCCCGACGCGGGGTTCTAACTCACGGACTGCGAGATCATGACCTGAGCTGAAGTCGGCCTTTTAACCGACTGAGCCACCCAGGCGCCCCTGTTGGTTGTTTTCTGTATGAGCCTGTGCAAACCATTTACTGCCTGTAAGTTTCTTTTTTTTTTTTTTTTTTAATTTTTTTTTCAA